GGGGAAGGCCTTGGAGAGGGTTAGAAGAGGGTGGGAGGCACAGAAAGGGATTTGGGGGGTCTGGGGGGGTCCAGAGGGGACTTGGGGTGGTCCAAGAGGGTCTGGCGGTCCCCGTGAGGGGCGTCCCCAATTTGGAAAGGGGTCGCACTCACCAGGAACCCCCTCAAGCAGCTGGGGGTCCCTTTTTGGGGGTCCCCGCAGGGATTTCCATATTTTGGGGAGAGTCCCCATTGGAGGGGTCGCCGTTTTTGGGGGCGTTGCTGTTTTTGGGGGTTTCCCTCTTGAGGGGGGCGTCCCCGATTTGGGGAAGGGTCGCACTCACCAGGAACCCCCTCTGAGACCCCCCTCAAGCAGCCAGGGGTCCCTTTTTGGGGGTCCCTTTTTGGGGGTCCCCGCAGGGATTTCCACATTTTGGGGAGGGTTCCCATTGGAGGGGTCGCTGTTTTTGGGGAGGTTCCCCCTTGAGGGGGGTGTCCCCGATTTGGGGAGGGGTCGCACTCACCAGGGTCTCCCCCGAGAGCCCCTCGAGCAGGCGCAGCAGGAGCCGCCCGTCCCGCAGGTCGCTGTAAAGGTCGCCCAGGTGCGACCCCTGCGCCAGGTGGGAATTCACCCACTTGGTGAAGGTTTTCTTCTGCACGGCCTCGCGCTCGTCTGGGGGGGCACGGGGGGGTCAGGGACCCCCAAAATCCCCCCTAAACCCCACCCAGAGCCCCCAAACCCCACCCAGAGCCCCCAAACCTCATCCAGAGACCCCAAATCCCACCCGAGACCCCCCCTTCTCCTTCTGCACGGCCTCATGCTCGTCTGGGGGGGCACGGGGGGGTCAGGGACCCCCAAAATCCCCCCTAAACCCCACCCAGAGCCCCCAAACCCCACCCAGAGCCCCCAACCCCCACCCAAATCCTTCAAACCTCATCCAGAGACCCCAAATCCCACCCGAGACCCCAAATCCCACCTGAGACCCCCCCTTCTCCTTCTGCGCGGCCTCATGCTCGTCTGGGGGGACACGGGGGGGGGTCCAGGACCCCCAAAACCCCCCCCCAAAATCCCCTAAAGATCTCCCTATACCACCCCAGACTACCCAAACCCCATCCAGAACCCCCAAACCCCACCCAGAGCCCCCCAAATCCCCCTTCTGCGCATCCTGATCGAGGGTGAGGGGGGAACAGGGGGGTCAGAGAACCCCAAAATTGCCCCCAAAGCCCCCCAGGGGTCGCAGCCCCCTGGGGGGGTCCCAGGTGGGATCCCCCCGCGCCAGCCGGTGCTGGATTAATGCTAAGAGGATTTGGGGGGGGGGTCCCTGAGGGGGCTCCTGAGGGGGGTCCTGGGGGTTTGGGGG